ATATCTGAGCGCCTGAAGGTGCGAAAGCCGTGAAAGATTCCTTTGCGAGAGGTGCTAGACGTGACATTTATTGTAAACTCCGCAGCGTGCGGCAATAGTCGCAACACTAGCTCAACACTACAGCAATCGCAGATCTTGCCTGACGGTCACGTACGTACTTCTAATTTCCTCCTGCATTTTATCTTTTAGCCTCCTAAATTGGTCGTAGCTGACTTCGTCTGGAGGAAGTGGATGTCTAGCTACCCAATTGCCACAAGCAAATTCGAAGAAATCCTCACATGGATCCACCTAAAGGCATTTCATTTAATCTTGAAAGCAGATGCACCACAACCAACCGAAAAGTTTATGGAATTTCTAAGAATTTCCGATGCAATCTTGTATCCTTCGTCATTGGCTGATGACCCGGTGCTCCTCACATTAACTTCGTACGGTGGCGTAGTGTCAAGAGTACACCAACACAAAGGCACGATAACCACTGCCCAGCGCATCAGAGAATGGAAAACTGTATACAAGGAAGGAAGCAATATTCATATGGCGAAACGATAAAAAACTAATTAGTGAACAGTTATCAAACGTGTATACATTTTTAACATTAGATTGCTCCAAAACTTCTTGCTGCTTTTTCGTTGTTACAGGATTACGCTGAATTAAAGCTGTCAAAAATAACCATCAGCAGCTTTCCTTTCTCTTCTCAGCAGTCATACCCCTATATACATTGTGATCGTGATCTCCGAAGTAATCTCCGAATACATGGTTTTACCACGTTCAACTACAGCAATTTCTCAAATTTTTATTTTAGATATTTGCAAGAGCTTTGATAACAGTTATACAGATTTAACAACGTAGTAGGTCTCTAACATTTTTCAAGGGGAAAACAACGTAGTAGGTCTCTAACATTTTTCAAGGGGATCGCCTATTTTTTCAGAGTAGTTGGATGTCGCATCGAACACTAAAAAAACATCAGTAATTTATCTTAGAAATCGACGACTACAATAAGTTTTACAAAGTATTAGTTGCTTATAAGTTTCTTCAATTTCGGATTTTTAGCACAATAAGTCATACCCAGTTCTAGTTGGAGAGTAAGATACCGTTCGATAGAGAAAAGCAAGCTCTACAAGATGGCATGTAAACTTTCACATGATCTTCAAAACTCATCGAGATTAAGGCCGAATCCAAAGATTTCGAGTGCCTGAAAAATCGAAATTTATTGTATTTCGTTCAACGGAAAGATTTGGAACTTCCACTCACTCATGCATAACTCCACTTAACACATTCACATATGCCTTTGTTGTATCTACTTTTTATGCTAAAGGTCGAAAAAAAAAACAAAATTTTCAAGTTTCTGGAAAAGCGATGCTGTGTTGTTTCCACATATGTAAATGTATACTACCAAATTAAGCAAATTAGGCTTTTTTTGTCGGGGTCTTTCATGTGAGAACTATTATTTTTTAGGAAATAGAGCTTGCAGAAAACCAAAAGTTTGCAAGATTCATAGTATACATTTACATGTGTGGGAACAGCACATCATCGCTTTCCAAAAACTTTAAAATTTTTGTTTTTCCGTTTAGAAATAGATACAGCAAAGGCACATATGAATGCGTTATGTGGAGTGTATATGCATGAGCAAGTGGAGTTCCAGTAAGTTTTCGTTGCACGAAGATATAATTGAATTTAGATTTTTTTTAAAATTCAATCTCTGCTTTTACCTAAAAGTATGTTGAAGCTCGTGCGAAAATTTGCACGCCATTCTATGGAGCTTGCTTTGCTTTATCGGATTGTGCCCGACATCCTGACTTTAAGAAATTTGTGACTTATTGTGCCAAAAAGCCAAAATTGAAGAACTTTTGAGACAACCCTAATAAATAAACAACCTCTGTTCGTGTTAAACTTTGAGCAGGGCTTGTACCTTTTCGAAGCTTTTTTGCCATGTTAAAATCATATCTAGGCT